TTTATTTATATATAAATTTTATACAATAATTTATATAAATATTTTTAATAATTAAGATTTGTCAAGATTTTTTAGGTAAAAAATAAGTTAAATCTTCAATTTGATCCCTAAACTATTATACAAACCCTGTAATTTGGTTCCTGAACTAAAAAAATCCATAATTTGGTCCCTGAACTATTGTATAGATCCTCAATTTGATTGCTACTGTTTACAAATTTACCCCAAATTGGTCATTCTATATAAAAACAATTAACATGTCTCGTTATTAATGTGACACATGACCGTTAAGTTACTGTTTTTAGTCGTTAAATTACTGTTTTTTGCCATTAAATACTAGATACATTAGGTTTTTTTTATATGAAATGACTAATTTGGGGCAAATTGGTAAACCGCAAGGACCAAATCGTGGGTCCATACAATAATTTAATGACCAAATCAAGAATTTTTTTTAGTTTATGGACCAAATTCGGGGTTCGTACAATAGTTCAGGGACCAAATTGGAGATTTAACCTAAAAATATAATTATTTTTAATAAATATAAATAATTTCAATTATTAAAAGTGAAAAAAAAAATAAATAATTAAGATTTTATATAAATGTAATATATAAAATTTGTGTATCAATAAATTTCTACCATATATATGAGATCCCTACCATATGTATATACACGAGAGGGGATTCATTTACATATATAAAAGTCTTATATATTTTATTTATATAAAATCTTGATAATTTATCTTTTTAACTTTTAATTATTGAATTTATCATGATTTTTTAAATAAAAAAATAATTATTTTTAACAAATTTGAATAAATCTAAATCATTGAAAATAAAAAGATATATAATTAAGATTTTGTATAAATATAATATATAAAATTTATATGTAAATGAACATCTCTTTATGTATATATATATATTGGATGATGAGGATATTTTCAAATTAATTTTTATATACTTGAAAATTAGTTCTTCTCTTAACAACTTTAAACATAATTTTTATATACTTTCCCACAAACAAATATTTTTCTAATCTACGCCCCAAAATTGAAAGGAATAATAATTAATGAGACTAAAATTTGATATCAAAATTTAGGACTAATGATATGATATAGAACCAACGAAGAGTTGGATCAAGTGGCAAGTGGCAAGCGGCTTGTTCCAGTTTGAGTAAGGTCTCAAGTTCGAAACTTTGTGTACACAGCAGCCTTCGTTGGGAGATCCACACACCATTCTGGTGCGTCACAGCTGATCGAGTCCGAAGTAGTCGAGGCGAAACTCCGGATATCGGGAGGGAAACCAAAAAAAAAAAAAAATGATATGATATAGATTATATCATTTAAAATATTAAAAGATAAACTATATATTATTTAATAACTAATTCTTTTATATTTTTAAAATTCATAATATTATATACATCAATTAACTTAATAATATGATATAAATCATGTTATTAGTCTTAAATTTCCATCCACCCTATCATTACTCCATTGGAAAAAATGATATAAGCACTACATTTTTATATCTACTTAGTATATTTAAATAAATTAATTTTATTAAATATTAATCCTAAATTTTAAATTTTAAATTTAATTTATAAAATTATATTTATTTATCAATAAATCCAGCATCATTGGCCATAATATTTTTTCATACTTCAAACTAAACTAAACCATCCGACTGTAAAATTCAATTTTAAAAGAAGTGGGTCAAGGTTGCGACCTTTTTATTTTTAAGAAATGTAACTACATGCTTGGCATTTTTTTGACCCAGAACATGGGAACAGTGACATGGACCAGCAATTATTGGGGATAAGGCAGTGGCAGATGATTTCTAGGCTGTGTTTGGTTTCCATATATTTGAAGAACAGCACAGGAAAGCTAATAAAAATCAAGTTACCGCTTGGTTTAAAAATAAAATATTTTGATAAGAGCATATAATCAATCAATTATATAAAACAAAATTGATGAGATTAGTGTGTATTAATTTTAATTCTAAAAAAAAAAATTATAATCTTAACATATATTTAAAAAATAAACTCTCAATTTAAAATTTAAAAAACTAATTAATTTCTAAACATAAATATTAATATTTAATAAAATAAAATTTTAAAATTTAACACAGGCGTGACTCAGCCAAGGCAAGTGTGAATAAAAGGTGAATTTGATATTATTGTTGTTTTTTGCTTTCTTGCAAAACCTAAAGGACATATATAACTTGACTAGACAACCCCCAAGTCCCAAAGTCGTCATTGATAGTAAAGTTTCTTTTGGTATAATATAATGGCAAACAATTAGGGTTTAGTGCAATTATTGTGGAATCCTAATAATCTTCCTTGAATTATAATCTAAGTTTTGCTTATAAATTTTCTTTGGAACGTCCAAAATATTTGTTTGAAATTTATATGTGGCATACCCAGAAGCAGGCCGGGAGTAACGATCTCATTTATAATTCCAAGTAATAGATAAGCAATCTGATCTACAAAGGTGGGGAAATCCAGTACACAACAAAATTTATTGCTTACCTGCAAAGTTTGCAAGTTTTGGTGAGGAAAATCTCGTCCGCAAACATAAACCTTTCAACCCACTACCATTGAAAGTGGAAAGTACCCCTTGATGTACTCTAGCCTCGAAGTGTCATCATATAGTAGTTGGCGAAAAAACATATATAGTGGCAGATAATTATATTTTTTTTTAAGTTTTTTATTTTGCAATTTAAATTATACTAAATTATAAAATATAGACAATTAGATAAAAAAAGATCTCAAATATATTTTTTGATGTTAGTCGTACAATGAGAGATAATCATCTCATATCCTTTATTTCACCTTACCACATGCTATGTAATTTAAAATCAAGATCTTTTACTTCCAATGAAAAAAAATTATTACTGAGATACTTAGGTCGTAGGCAAAGGATCTCAAATATTAAAGGGTCCACTCTTTTATTAATGTACAATTTGATACAATTTAGATTATATAATAATTTTTTTTCCTTTTATATATATTTCCCCCTTTTTATTGCCAATGTAGTGAATTCTTGAGTACTCCTTTCTTCGTTTTCACCCCAAAATTGTCATTTATCAAGAAAAGAAGTGCAGGAAGGCAAGATAGAGAGAGAGAGGAGTTCAGAATTGTCACAAGTCACAACTTTATGGAGACACTATGAGTTGGTGATCAACACGACTTTATTATTAGGTTTTTTTTTTTTTAAAGAATAGCTTCATTTCCACTGCAAAATTAAAAGGCTAGTTGTGCAATTTAATTTCTTGCTGTTTTTAAGGGTTTTAGTCAAGGGACTTGTTAATATTGAAGCAAGCAAATAAAAACTCTATGCAACCGTCATACCGACATGTATTTAAACTTGTCCTATAAAACATCTAAAAACCTGTGTATATTGAAATTCAAATTCAACCATTTAAAAGTCGTAGTAGCAAACTAATAACAATGTTAAATGTGAGTGGATTAATTATTCAACTCAAAAAATCTATTGCCTAGAAATTCAATAAAGTTGCGGTTGAGAATACGTATTCTAATTTAATGTATTGAACAATAATGATTTTTCTTTTTTCATTTTATTGACTCAAAATTGATTTAAAATATGGGTTACCATAAGGCAAGTCCTTTCATTTTTACAAATCTAAACACATACATGACATGTTATTAATAAAGAATACAGATCTAATTATACACAAGTCTGATGTATCATATATATACAAAATATCAATTATTCATTTACTTATTTTTAATTATTAAAATTTATTTTTTTTATCAGTATTTATTAAAAATAATTATTTTTTTATTTTAAAAATTATGATAAATCTCAATTATTAAAAATAAAAAAATAAATAATTATAATTTTGTATAAATATAATATATAAAATTTATATGTAAATAGATTCTACTCATTATTTTTTATTTAAAAAATATGATAAATCTCAATAATTAAAAATAAAAAATAAATAATTATAATTTTATATAAATATAATATATAAAATTTATATATAAATAGATTTTACTCGTTAACAAAATTAAAGAGGCGTGCAAACCAACCCAAAATAATATTTGATGGCAAACTACTTAGAAACAATTCAAAAAAGGGTAAACCAGGTCATGTTACAAGGTATCCAGCTTTCCAGGGCCCAAACCAAGCCATGTTATGGGCCAAGAGACTCAAAACTGCCATTTCTAGCTTGAGGTTGCTCATTAGTTATCATAGGCATTGAAGTCTTGGATTCAAACCCAGCAATTTTAGACCCCATCTTTCCCAAGTTCCCGTTCACCAGACGAGGGGAGGAAAAAAAAAAAAAAGAGGAGGAGGAAGATTTAATATTCTGGGCGTTTGAAGTTCAGCCCAAACGGACCTCAGTCTCTCTTTCAAGTTTGGGTTGGATAAACCCACTATTTGGATAAACCCACGAAAGCCTAATTCCCCACTCTCTCGGAACTGATGGAAGCCCAGTTCTCAAAAGGAACCAAAACAAGCCCATACCTTCTTCACCTCTAAGCCTGACCGCTACACAAGGATGTATATGAGAAAAACTTTGACTTTCGTATTTCCCAAGGGTAAAATACCCAAATCCATCCTCAAAGTATAATAGTAGGGACAGATTTACCCTCAAACAAAAAATGAAGACAAATCCACCTATAAAGTTTTCAACTTGAACAAATCACTCCAAATCTAACGTGTGATATTATCTAACATCAACAATCTGTTAATTCGTTAATGGATTGCTGACGTCAGATGATATCAAATTAATAGATTGCTGATATCAAATGACGTTATACGTTAAATTTAAGGTGATTTGTCCAAGTCAAAAACTTTGTAGGTGAATTTGTTTTCATTTTTTGTTCGAAGGTGAATCTGTCCTTACTATTATACTTTGGGGATGAATTTGGATATTCTGCCTTTCCCCAAGTCAGAGTGCACAATAAAAATTAAAGTGTTGTTGCCTTTCAACCATATGATCTTCTGGTCACGTTTTTTTTATTGAAAAGCAAGTGAGGACATCTTTAATGATCTTCACGTCAACTCTTAGGTTTTATATTTTTTCATCTTTTTAGTACAGATATTAATACTATTAATGTAATTATTACTTTCAAAAAAAAAATTAAAGTTATGTTGAAATTATGAATTTGCTAAAACATGTTTAATGAAAATTTGCTTTACACTAATTCATTAATGATATATTTTAATAATTTTAGCACATGAACTATATTTTTATTATATAGTCTAACCTATATATATTTATTAACTTTATAATGCACTTTCTTATTTTAGATAAAAGAAAAAGAACGTGATGCCAAATGAGATTGTAATGACGGTAAGAGTAAGCAATGAGGTAACCCATTAAGGAAAATAACTAGTTTAATACGTGAATATTGCGTATTTAAGACTGCAGTTTTTGAATTGGGTTTAACATTCACTTTTTTTAGCAAAAAAAAAAAGAAAAGAAAAGAAAGAAGAAACAGAAAAAAAATTTGTTGGCATGACACATGAGGAAATTTGAAAGAAGTTTTGAACATTCCACATAAGAATGATCATCAGGATGAAAGCAACCAAAAAAAAAAAAAAAAGGTTGAAATTGGGAAAATTAAAGTCAATCTTGAACACTAATAACTTGTATGTAAACGATCTAAATAAATTAGTGATCATCTTATTTTATCAGAAATAAAAGGTCTTAATTTCGAGTTTCATGACACATGAACATAATATAATAAGAGATGAAAAATGATTATTTTCTATCGAGCAACTAAAATAAAAGAAAAAAAAATCAATCTTGTACGATTTCATGATAATTATTATTGAACACCAAAAATATTTATGGAAAAAAGTAATAGAATATATAGAAACAACGCCAGCTCAAAACTGGTACTATTGTGAATGATATGATTTGATTTGCCAGAAATATTATAGTACATAAATGAAAAATAAACATGCAGAGTCGCAGCATATACCTGGGGGAGAGGAGGGAGTAGACTGAGTAGTTTCTTCTCATTGTCACCAGCATGCATAGCTGTCTGTTGTACTTGGAGAGGAGTAGATCAAGATACTAGGGCATTAATTAGGTACAACCATGCTGGTTTGAACCTCAGCTTTTTATGGCACCAGATCACATGATTGTTTGCAAATATTAAATTTCATAATTAACCAAACAAAGTTTCAATTTATAGCATAATTTCCCCTCTGCATTAATAAATATTCTCAATCTCAAATTCATCTAGAAAAATAACATTTTGATTATGATATATGCTTGTTTGTTTTTTTATTTTTTTTTGAAACAAATTGTAATCAAATTTACAACACTAAAAGAAGATGAGGAAAAAAATCCCCAAGAACTTAAACTTTTAACACGAAAGGTCTTTTCACAAAAAATAAAGTAATAAACCACTTAATTTATGCTGTATGCATGAGTTGTAAGTTATATATGAGATTTCAGATAATTTTAAATTGATCAATTTTGAAATTGTGCTGTGTTGCGTCATTATACCCATATAAGTATTTCAAAAAAGACAAACCCTTTGAGTGGGGGCACACCCCGATTGTGGGGTAGTTGCCTCACATTGATTTCGTGTGTGTGGGCGATAAGGTCTATATAGGATTTCAGGCAATTCTAAACTAATCAGTTTTGAAATTGTGCTGTGTTTCGTCACTGTATTCATGTAAGTGTTTCGAAAAAAAGAAAAAAACCACTTAATTTATGTCATGTGCATGAGTTGTAAGGTATATATGAGATTTCAGGTAATTTTAAATTGATCGATTTTGGAATTGTGCTGTGTTCCGTCACTATACCCATATAAGTGTTTCAAAAAAGACAAATCCCTTTAAGTGGGAGCACACCCTTGATTGTGAGACAGTTGTCCCACATCGATCCCGTGCGTGAGTTGTAAGGTCTATATAGGATTTCAGGCAATTCCAAACTGATCAGTTTTGGAATTGTACTGTGTTCCGTCACTGTATCCATGTAAGTGTTTCAAAAAAACAAAACCACTTAATTTATGTGTGAGTAACCTTTGATTTTGTTTTAAACCGTTATAGTTTCACATGTCCAATACATTTAAGACGAGTCTCTCCAGGGTTTAGTCGTCAACAAAAGTCAGCGTTTAGGCCATTATGATATCTCAATCCATTAGAGAATCAGGTTGACCAATTTCGATTCTCACTATGCTAGTATGCTGCCAAGTGGTGCAATGCCCTTACCATATCTCCTAAATCTCCCGCTAATTTCCCGATACAAACCTGGCGATACGATATTTTCACCTACTGGTTGAAACCTCAAAATCTCTGGGCGGCAGGTCCCACTGAGAAGTCCAATTTCCGCATGGCAAAAACCCTTCTTAAGCTTCCAAACTTATCCCAAAATAGCATTTAAGCCCTTAAACTAAAAATAAAGCAGATAAGTCCTTCAACTCCACCAATAGTTGAAATAAACCCTTCTCAAAAAAGGTATTTCATGTTTAACATCACCTTAAAAGTATGAATAACCATGAATGAGAAGGGTTTATTTGAATTATTAGTGGAGTTAGAGGGTTTATTTTCTTCACTTTTAGTTTGGGGACTTAAATGCTATTTTGAGGTAAGTTTTAGGGCTTAAAAAGGGTTTTTGCCTTTTCTCGCATCGAACTTGCCAGTTCGCTTCTCTTCCTGAAATATTTTTATTTTATTATTTCTGTTTCATTTCATTTCTATTTTTTCAGTTTAATTTTCATTCCTACCGAAACTGAAAATTTACCCCAAAAAATAAAAAAAAGGATAATTTTCTTTTTAGTTTTTCTGCTGTAAATGGTGAAAGATTCGATCTGAGGTTGCAGTTGAGTGAGAGTCGAGAGTTTCTTTGTTTGATTATTTTATATATTTATCAGCCAAATAATTGTCATCGCCATCGTTTGTGTGGAGGAAGAGGAAATTGTGGGTGAGCCGAAGGGCAGTGGGAGGCGGAACTGGAGAAATCGGCGGTGTTTTGAGGTGGGGGTGGGGATTATGGGGTTGGGTTTGTGTAACGTGTTTTTGGGAGGGCTTAGCAGGATCAGATTCAGTTCCGATGAGAGTGCTGCGCTCCAGAGTGGGAGTGAAACCCTAGGTCGGTGTTGATTCCATGGATTTCAGCTTTTACTATTTTGTGTTTAATTTAGTTCGTTGAGTCTATTCTTTGTTGATTATTCAGTTTTGATGGTTTTGTGTTTGGTTTGGTGAGGCTGGGAAGCACAAATTTGACTTTATATGATTATAGTTGAAATTTTTGGATTCATTGTGTTGGCCTATTGGTAGAGGAGATTTGTTGGAATTTTGATTGAATATGGGAATGCTATTTGATCTACTTATGCATTCAAAATTGTTGCTTCGGGGAGTTGAGTATAGGCCTTTAGGGTGATAATTCGAATTGTACCTTGTGTTTGTGTTGGTCTTTAACTTTTGAAATTGAAACCAGACAGAACTAAATGCTATTGCTTATTGGAAATGAAATAATGAAAATGCTTGCAGAACTGCTTATTGAGAATAGAGTTATTTAAGAGCTGGAAACAAGCTGAAGAAATGATATTTGGAATTGGGTCAAATTGTGTGGTTTTGTGTGCATTTGTGTTCAACTGCATTCTGTTCTTTTGTCGGGATGCTAGTATTTTTTGTTTCCCCTCATTAAACTTGATTAGGTGAACCATTATGTTCTTAGTGTGGCAATTGATGCTGATTCTCAATCCTTGGTCTTTGCAGGTTAAAACCACTCCTACAAAACTTTCAGGCCTTTAGGAAGTGTGGCTTTATTATCTGCTGGACTTCTTCCTTACTTTGTACAGAATTTGGTTGCTTTGGACTGCTTTTGTTATTTTAAAGTCGTATCATGTTGTTCTGTAGTTTTGCTTAAGATACTCATCTGTTCAGTAGCCCCTAGTCTTGTTGACTGTTGCTCATTCAAATAGTTCACGCTTAGGATACTTTGAAAAAAAAAGAAAAAAAAGAGACACGCAATACCTGCTTTATAAATTTAAGAATTTCTGCTATTATTTGGATCTTTGGGTTTGAGCAATTCTGCATGCAAGGAAAAGTTTACGCTAAGCATATCATCTTGATGAAGTCAGAGGATTTCTGTGTTTTTCGGTGCTAAAAAAGGGGAAAATGCTACCAAATTGGAAGAAGCCCCACATCAAATTGACTCACACATTTTTCATAGACATCTTGTTCATGTTCATCAGAGCATTTAGAGGTGAGGAGGGTTGTAATGGTATGTTATAAGGATAAGCCATGGATCATTTTTCAGAAAAACGATATCCTGTCAATGCAAAGGATTATAAGTTATATGAAGAAGTTGGAGAAGGTGTTAGTGCCACAGTGCACAGAGCTTTATGCATTCCACTTAATGAGATAATTGCAATCAAGGTTCTTGATCTGGAAAAGTGCAATATTGACCTTGTAAGTGTGTTATTCCATAATTGTTTTTGGTTGTTGTTGCAATACTTTTCTATTTGCTTCACGTGTACATTTTGTTATCATTATTTTGGACACGTCATAATGGGATGGAGAATTAAAATTTTGCACATATTTCATATTCCATTTTTCATTCACTGGAAATGCTACCTTTTGCTCTTGGAGTTTGAGGATTGAGGAGGTGTTTAAAACTGTTAGGGAGTGGTTTCAGATCATTAGTGAACTGGAAGAAGAGGGAGGGTGAGCTTGTCTGATTTTTTGCCCCTTACTTTCGGGGAGCAAAAAGGAACCTTACTTTTTTCCTTTTCCTTGCTAAAATTTGGTGCCTTGGCAAATTCAAGGTTGCAGGACAGTAAGGATTGATTGAGATAGACTGCCCTTACATACTTATATTCATCTCTCTAACATTATTTTTTGTCTTGATTATTGTATTTCCATATGCTCAGACACTTACATGTTCATGTTCATGTTTAAAGGCCCTTGTTTCAGGACTCTTGAGTCACAACTACTTTATCAAGTATTAAGTAACATATATGTCCTTGTGTCATATTGAATGTTTTTTTTCTTACAAGTGCAGGATGGGATTCGCAGAGAGGTACAAACCATGACCTTGATTGATCACCCTAATGTATTGCGGGCACACTGCTCTTTTCCTGCCGGTCAGAGTCTTTGGGTTGTGATGCCATACATGGCTGGTGGATCCTGCCTACATATAATGAAATCTGCTCATTCAGATGGTTTTGACGAGCCTGTCATTGCTACATTATTGCGTGAGGTTCTAAAAGCTCTTGTTTATCTTCATGCCCAGGGACACATCCATAGGGATGTTAAGGTATTTGATTGCTCCTGATTCTACATCTTTGTTTGTTTAATCTATAAGCAATTTGTTCTTGAAGGACTAGCCAATTAGTTTTTAACTGTCTTAATTAAAATGATGACTGGCAAATATGAAGCATCAGGTATTTAATTTCTGCTTGCTTTCTACAAGATGAGACTTATGCTTGATTCATATTGAAGTTGAATACTTAATGGTTTGTGGCACCGTGTCACATTTATCTCCTACTATCAGTTTCTGGTTAATCCTTGTCATGTCATTGATATCTTGGAAAAAGCTCATTTCATAGTCAATTGTGTGCTTTTTTTTTTTTTTTGTCATTGCTCTGTTTCTTTTTATATTGAGAATGTTCCTAGTATTCTTTTCTAAACTTAACTCCCCTTTGCAGGCTGGGAATATACTAATTGATTCTAATGGTGCTGTCAAGTTGGCAGACTTTGGAGTGTCAGCATGCATGTTTGATACTGGAGACAGGCAACGTTCTAGAAATACTTTTGTTGGAACTCCTTGCTGGTATTTTTTCATTGGCCTTTCTATTTGTTGGGATGATTTTTTCATCATTGTTTTATGTAAAAATATTCAATTCTTGAAAGTATATGTAGATGATAATTTTCCTCCACCATTTGTTTCCCAGGATGGCTCCTGAAGTTATGCAGCAATTGCATGGCTATGACTTTAAGTGAGTGGTGGCTTTAGTAATCTGTATTTGTTTTTTCATGTGCTTTTGTAAATTCTGAACTCTGATCTGATTATTTTCTTCAATTGCTTCTTGTTGCCTTTTCTATAAACAGAGCAGATATTTGGTCATTTGGAATAACAGCATTGGAACTTGCTCATGGTCATGCCCCTTTTTCCAAGTATCCTCCCATGAAGGTGAATCTTTTAATTTCTGACAGTCATACACTATGCTCGGTTCTTCCGTTCTTGCTTTCACAATTTGATCTTTTCTTCTGCTTCGCTGCAGGTATTATTAATGACCTTGCAAAATGCACCTCCTGGTCTTGACTATGAAAGAGACAAGAAGTTCTCAAAGGTTTGTGCTGCTGACTGGGAACTTTGACTGGTGTCCGTTGTTAATATCATTCTAATGGTTCTATACTTGTCCAGTCTTTTAAGGAAATGGTAGCAACTTGCTTGGTGAAGGATCCAAAGAAACGTCCAACTTCAGAAAAGCTTTTGAAGCACCATTTCTTTAAGCAAGCACGCTCAAGTGATTATCTAGCTCGTACAATTCTTGATGGCCTTGGTCCATTAGGTGAACGTTTTAGGATGCTGAAGGTGTCTTGCTTATCCTAAACTGTGTCTTGGACCATATGAACTCTGGTTAAGTTGGGACATTTGTTCTTGTGCAACTCTGATCTGTTTTTTATGATTTAGGCTAAAGAGGCTGATCTCCTAGTCCAGAATAAGGGTCTATATGGGGACAAGGAACACTTATCACAGGTCTTATACTCTTATCTTGTTAATGTTTAGGTTCTTACTTTCTTGTCTAAATATAACTTCTGAACGTAATCCCATTCTTCCTTGCAGCAAGAGTATATAAGAGGAATCAGTGCCTGGAATTTCAACCTAGAGGATTTGAAAAGTCAGGCTGCACTTGTAAGTATTATGATTCTCTCTCTCTCTCTCTCTCTCTAGTTATTTGATGGTTTTCTGTAGAAATGGGAATGATACAACTTGTCTGAGTACCTGATCAGAAGTTCTATTTTTGTGTGGCCTGCAGATTCAGGATGATAATGGTGTGACAAATGCACAAGATCAAAATGTGAGTTGGAAGCAAAGGGACCAGCATGATGAAGTTAGATTATCTGCGGAGGGGTACCCTAGGTCTAATAACTCTATTGCTGCACCTAGACAGGAGGTATCTTCTCCCACGCTAAAGTGATCTCTGCATAATGTTCCACTGTTGATTCTCAGAACTTCTTGAGACTTTCTGACTATGACTTATCCTTTTAGATTCATATTAACAATTTGCTTGTTGCAGGATGAGCTTAGTGATCTTCATGATTTGGAGAGTTCCCTTGCTTCATTCCCGATTAAACCTCTTCAGGCTCTCAAGTATGCCTATCTTATATACTTGCTAGATACTGCCATTGCTAAATGTTTCATTGTATAAGATAAATGGGCTTCATGGGCAGTAAAAGGTTTTTTTCCCATCAATGGTTTCCTTGAAATTTCTTGTTAATTGTGACTTACCAAGTGAAAAGGCAATACTCTGTATGGAGCTAATGCTTGATATTGCCAATTTTCTGTTTTTCACTGGTATATTCTTGCTATTTTGTTTTAACAAGAAAAGTTTAGCAATTAAGTTTTCTGATTGTTATTTATTTATTATTTATTTATGCATATATGCAATCAATGCAGGGGTTGTTTTGACACTGGTGAAGATGATGAGTCTGCAGTTAGTCCAACTGGGAAAAGTGCCCGTTCAGATTCTGAACTGCAGCTTGTTGCAAAGCCATCAGCAGTGGACCAAGATACTGGAAAATATGGAAGTGAGAATTTCAGGCAAACCAGCTCAATCTCACGCCAGGCTATTCCTGAGCAAAAAAGGTTTTTGAGTGGTTCAATAATACCAGATAGTGCATTTTCTTCTAAAAAGGGTGCTGGTGATGGGGATAGGTAGGCATAGTTTTAAGTTACTCATGAAAACTAGTTCTGTTAGGACTAATTTAGACAGCTTGTTCTTTGGCAGAGTCTTTTCTGTTCACTTTCAAAGAGTTTTCTCAGTCAGTAACTTCTTTTTGTTCTTCGTGTGTGTTGCTTGTTTTGAAGATAAATCTGTATTTGTATAATTAAAGCTTGAGAGAGACCTTTTTGGACAAAATAAATGGGTCTGCCCTAATATGCTTATTATTTGTTCATTATTTTGTCATCTCACCTCCCATTTAAGTTTGGTACTGTGGAGTGCATTGTATTGTAGCTTTTATCTCAAATAGAACAAATGATCATGGCAGTGTGCTTGCTGCCAAAGTTTTTGATATCACAATCTATATTAACTTGGGTATTTGGAATTCTTTGAAGGGATGTTCTGCTATCAAAATATCAATCTGAACGTAACTATAGTGGTCCATTGTCATTTCGACAGAGGAGAGAAACAAATAACATTTCATCTGGTATCTATTTTACCTTCTCATTTTTAATTTGAAATAATGTTCTTCTATTTGCTCTTTAACAAATTCATTTTATTTTTTTTGCATTAAACCTTGCAGGGGATGATACGTTAGAAGGGTCAGTTGTCCAACGTAAAGGACGGTTTAAAGTCACATCAGCAGATCTCAGTCCCAAGGTATATATGGTATAGAGGTTGCAATATCTGCTCAACCTTTGTTAGTAAGCTGTCACGTATCTTATGTTATATTTCAAAGAAACTCAATGTTTGACAGCCTATTGTGCTAAAAACTTGTGGACTTAATTTGTTAATTTTTAGCCAACATTCACCTATGGATTATGTTATTCATAAAGTACTTTCTTTTTTACGTAGCAACTTGTCATTTAGGCAACACCATATTTTCTCTCGTTCAGGGACCTTCAAACTGCATCTTTAACCCAGCAAATGGAGGTTCAGCCAGCCACACATCCCCAAACTTAACGGCAGCTGCCATTCTCCCATCTCTGCAATGCATTTTGCAGCAGAATGCTGTGCAAAGGGTATGCTTCTTGTTATATCTCTTATGACATGTCCTGGAGATGTTTATCTGATAACTTGTATTTTTTCTCTCAATAATTGTTGACAGGAAGAAATTATCCGACTGATCAAGTTCGTGGAGCAAACTTCTGGTAGTGCTCTGACATATTTATCATTTGCATTTCTCTTTTTGGTACTTTAACATGTGAGCATGTATTACTGTGAACTTCTCTTGATTTACAGGGAAGCCTGGGGAGGCTTCTGACATAACAAACAATGAGCTATTGCAGGTAAATGTTATCCATTTTACTTTTCCCTTAAACTATTGGTAACTAATTGATCTGCTCCAAATATGCTTTCATTATACTTTAGCAGTGGTTCATTATTCTGTATTGATAATGGATACCTCCTAGAACTTCCTGCCTTGTGTCAGTGACAGTTAATTGGTGGCATCCTAGACCATGTGTCTAGTTGATCTAAACACAAGTGTAACATATCAAATTGGCTAGTCAGTCTAGGATCTCTTGTATCATTAGGGTTTGCTCAGTTTGGAGTTTTGGTTGATTGATCTTTCTTTTTGTGCCACATTTAGTTACCTCCTGCTTCTGCAAGGGAGAGAGAGCTACAATCCCAGGTGATTCAGCTTCAACAGAGGTAAGAAGTGAAGACCAAACAATTGTGATTTGGTGTATTTATCTAGTTATACTGAGAACTTTTTTCTGATGTTAGTATTGTAGGCATTGTGGAAGAATTGCAGAAACAGAAGATGAAAAATGCCCAGGTTTGTGCATTTATCTCAGACACAATAAAAAAACACACACACAGACACACTGACACACATTCTTTCAGAGAACAACACAAAGTCACACATGCATTTATTGTGAAGCTGTTATGGCCTTCCTGAATAAGAGAATATAATACGAAATTTTCAAGTTGAGCATGCATGATGCCATTAACTGTGAACTAACCTGTAGAAGTATGCCATTAGTACATTTATTAAGTGTGAGAGGAGGCATCTTAGTGATGAGTTACACCCATCAAATGTTTTATGCTAGAAAGAATAACAGGCTTATATTTGTAGCTGCTGCAGAGATTGGGCAACATGTCTGCCACTCGTTAAACTAAAGATTTTATTGAAACACAGTCTCTGTGATTACACACCTTCCGTTCTTGAATAAGTGGCGAGTTACCTGTCTCATATGCAGTGAATCTACAAGCATAATTTCCATACACTCTCTCTAAGTTTCTTCATAAGAATTGAATTTGTTCTGCCTTGATTCCTAAATTATTGAATACTCTGTGGCAACTTGCCAGAATTCTGCATTTGATTTGAGTTGGCTTGCATATATCTGCATACTACTGTTAAAGCATTCTCTGTTAGGTTTCTATGGAACTTTTTTCTGTCTAGACTGTGATTAAAGGAATTGTCATTTCGTTGCAGTTGGAAAAACAATTAAATGCTTTGCCCAACAACGAGTAGAGTTGGAACAACAAAACAAACGGAGTGTGGTCGCCATACCTTTCTCCAGTGAGAGGCTTCATGAAGTTCTACAGCTGCTGCAATATAGGGGTGTATTCGATTGTATTTCTGGTGTACCATATTTATAGATGCGTGTTAAGTCCAGACGCCAAAATTTTGAGATGCCATTCCTTGAATCAGTCTCACATCATGTTGTAATTTATTGACAGGATATTGTAATATATTACAAGTTTTTTCATGTTACTCTGTTTATCTGCTATACATGGATCAAATTTTGCAACCAGTTAGAGGAGGAAATCAAAATGTTAATTATAGCTAGTGAAGGAGATGATTATATTAGTTAAATGGTATGGAAAAAACAAAAAAATGGTGATCTGAGAACAAGGATGTACAAACATAATAGACATCGTCTGCCAAAATTTAGGCTTCCATAATCATAAAGAAAGATCAGGAATGTATTCAATCTAACCAGTAACCTTCTTCATAATTGACATGTCAGGTACATATCATGGAGCAGAATAAACAAAAACAATTGTGTTCAGTAACTGAATATGGAAATGGGGGGCTGTGATTTGATTATTTGAACAGTGTTGCATTACCAGAGCCGGTGCTCTATCACTGAGGAAACGATTCCTTTCATTGTTTCCTGCATAAAATAAATCGTAGGGTAACAAATTTTAATATTTTACTCTTTAGAGGAAGAAACCCATCTCCTCCCAAGAAAAGGAATGGAATGAAACCAAACTTGTGGTTATAGGAAAGTACCATGGAGTGATCTTTGAGGCCAAGAGAGAGAACTAAGGGCCTGGAGGAACCAGAAGAACTGTGAACATGCAAGGAGATGACAAAAACATCAGTGATTTCCATAATTGGTTTGAACTACTGACTATCAGAGACATAGGTTGTCATTAGACCTGGCAAGTGACAAGAATAACTCTAGATCTGCTGTAACTGTGTTATTATTTATTTATATATAATAATCTTATAAGGACTGGTAAGGAAAAAGTTATGGTGACAAATTATAAATGTACCTTATGTGTTCAATTAGCTGACGAGCGCACGCCACAAGCATAGGCTACAGCACACATTGTGTTCAGTCAAAATTGAGGGCTGGTAAAGAAAATCAAAACTAACATAGAAGCTACAGACGGTAGGTTACCTCATCTCTTTTGCCAAATATTACAGAGACATTGAAAGTAGGATGGATTGCAACCCCTTCCTCCTTCCTATCAATTAAAATATAAGCAATAACTAAGAAGCTCTTCTCAATATAATAAATCAATATTAATATACTCCATAACTTCAAAAAACAACATGATGACAGGCAAATCATATTCAAGCAACATGACCAACCAAGCTTCATTTCTGGTTTTTCCCTTTCTCCCATTTTTTCTTCCAAGTGATGTTATCCCTGTATTTTTTTCCCCTCCCACCTCCTCTGCATGACAAATCAAGTTCTAAAATCCTTATTTTTCTCTCTATTCTTTTTCTATTCCTCTTTATATTTCAATAGCAAAACATATCTTTTCTCCCTCTTTTTTCTTTAATTCCAGCAAAGATTTACACACTGCTCACAGCTTCACACCATATCCAATTAAGAGCTAAGAATTATGACACTGCTTTAATTTGCAAATCAACGTTGACTATTTCCCTGACATGCAGTGAAAGTACATGAACCAAACATTTGAAAAGAAAAATTTACCATATTGCAGAAACTGAATGTACTAACCTGGCATGTAGTATTGTTCCCATAGTTCCTATTTGAGATGCCATTACCTGAGAAGTGTTTATGTAAAAATTTTATCCCATAGAGACATGAGAGAGTCTCCCCACTCTCTGCAACCAATCCCCATCTCCCCTGTTCTGTGAACCCCCCCAAGAAAGAAGAAAAGAAAAGGCAAGAAATCAAAAGAAAAAAAAAAAAAAAGTGGAAACATTGTACTCACAAGAAAATGATCTTCATAGCTGCAAATGACTAGCTCTGTTTTGTTCCCCTACCAAACAGAAGTGATGCAACTTAGGAAATCCAGATGACAATGTAAACGAAACAAACAATTATCAGCGTGAAGGTAGGAATGACAAAGCTCAGTGATAGGTGATAGACTTGGGTAGTGAAATGGAAGCACAGAAAAAGCATGGAACTTGGCATGGATACTAAAAATTATAATATTCATATCAGACACCTTCTGCGTTGCTTTATATATAGTGTTTCCATGGGTTGTTATTATTTTACCACCTACTCTATAAACCAGAAGCACCCTTATAGAAACATTACATGACATTGTGCCATTTTATACACATAAGAAGGATAATTATTTGCTCTGCATAAATCATTTTCATAACTGGTATATATAGACCCACCTCAAACCAGTATACCATGAGCCGGGAAGCTAGATCATTGTAACTTAAAAACTCTTAAAACTAACATACTCCTAAAATCGAAGAGAGAAAAAAAAAGCCCTTTTCAGGGTATGGCACAACATTAGATTCCAAGAGTGGGTATTCCCATTGCAAAATCATCTTTAACAAAAGCAAAACTCTCAATATTTTTCCTGAATAGAACCTAACATCAAGTCCTCTACTTTTATATCTATGTACTTTTTCTTACTTCCACAATCTTTGAGGTCAAGATACAGAAACAATTTCCATTTTAAGATGAAAAATTCAAGCATCTTCATTCTTCAAGCAACACCCATATAGAATCAGAGAAACCCAGGTAAAGGGTACGGAAGAGGATGCACTTACATTGATATCTAATGAGAGATTCTTACAGGGAACAGGGAATCGTTGTACTAAACTCTCCATTTCAGGGAAAAGTCGACGTCTTTAGTCCCAATTTCTTTCTTGTTCTTCCGCTCCTCCCGGTTACTTTGGGTAGCTCCGTTTGAGTTTGAGAAGAAGAGAGAAAGTGAAGCCCATCTGGGACCCAATCTTGAAGCCCGTCTCAGCCCAAAAAGCTATAAACCAATCCAAATTCCTAATCCTTTTTCTTTCCAAAGAGAAAAAAGAAAGAAAAAGAAAAAGAGAATAAATTTGTTATTAATTTTTTAGGCCAAGACGAAAATAATGAGATTTTTTTTTTGTTTGGATTATACAGTAAAAGTATAGTTTAGACATAATATAAGAAAGAATTTTATTAAAGACTTTTTAATAATTTCAATACTAAACTACACTTCTAAACTTAAAAAACACTTTTTTAATAATTAATACTAGCAACTTCTTTAATGACAAATAAATAAATAAACAAACTAATAGCTAACCATTTTATAATGAGATTATAAAAATTTAAAATATTTTAACTATTAAAATAGAAA